CCTAGAAATAAAATAGTCCGTTGTCTGTGAAAGCCACAATTTTGAGTCTTTTAAATTTGCAGCTATAGACCAGGTGAAGAATTTCAATTTGCAAAGAATCCAAATGGAACTGAGAATAGAAATTCCTGTTGGAATTCATTATTAAGGCAAAACTAGTGGTTAGTAGCATGAGGGGTTGTGGGGGGGGGTGTGGAAGGTGGACTTTGACTGCCCATGCCTCCCACCAGGAGCCCCATTCAAGGACATTTAGTAAATCTGGCTGAGGCAGCATCTGCCCTGTGAGGAACGTCCCAGAATGGACATGTCCCTGTGTGACTGCCCAGCGAATACCAAATAGATTGGGTCATTTTATTCAGACCTGGAGAACTTGGCTGCCTAGGCAGATGCTCTGCGGATGAACTCACTTTTGCTTTAGTCCCACATGGCTGCTGAAGTCTGAGCAGCTCAGACAGCAAGGGACAGAGGTGAGGAGAACACAGGGCAGGCGATCAGAGAAATCTAAGGAAGGAGATTGGATTACTGTCAGATCGCAGGGTGTGGGCAACTGGGACAGACTGATGGGTGAGCCTAAAGCTGACAGGGAACAGTTGGGTGTGCTGAGCCAGCTGCCTTGTGTGTGCATGCAGAGTGCAGGCTAACTGGGAGAAGGAAATCTTAACAGTTATAGAAAATACACAGCAGTCCATAGGCCCACCTAACTGGAAAACAAAGCTTGTTCTTTGGACTCCAAATCCCCCAAACCACAGAGATATCTACAGTGTTATCTGGTTTCTTGCTTCACAGGGCATGTCTCTATCAGTCTTTCAACAAACACTTATTAAGAGCCTTCTAAATTTCAGGACTGTGCTTGGTGCTAGAGATATTGAGAAAATCTGTACAGTACTTCCCTCAAAGGAGCTCACCACCTAGTAAACAATTACAAAAAAGGAAAAATGCAGTCCGAGCAGGGATAAAAGAGAGCACAGGTGCTGGAGGAGCCCAGGACACAGGCAGCAGAGCATGTGAGTCGTGATCTAAAGCTAGAGAGTTTGTATCTTCAAACATGTCAACCACTCTTCAAATGCCACCCGACAGTTTTCTCTCCTCCACTCCAGTCTTAAATCCATGACCTCAACATGGTAAAAACATTCCCCAGACCATTCAGTTCTAGTAGTAATTTAATGTTATGTTCTTCTCCATGGATGTTCTCTGTATGTTTTCCCATCTTGGTTGTCTTTCTTTTTTAGTGTGTTATTTAATCTTGTTGGTAGAATAGGATGTTAAAAGTTGAGGGCTTTAATTTAATGTACCATTTAGCTTCATTTGAAAGGAGAATAAAGCCCCCATGACCAGCGGTTTACCCATTAATCTGAGCCAAAGGCGGAGCGAATGTCTATTGTGTCCCCGGTTATGGGGGATCAGAGCAAGGAGACCATAGACGGTTTGCTCCACTCAAACCTGTCATCATTACCAGATATGCCAGCAATAGGACACAGCCATTTGGCAGTGGTATCATATTCATAAATAAGCGTAAAAGTATGTGTGTGTGTGTGAGTGTGTGTACATGTGTAATGTTTCACAATCTTTTTGAAGGCTGCAGAATAATGATTACTATGAACCTATAAGCATAACCCCAGATACCAACAAGGCACACTCCCTCACATCTTTCATGTCTGTGCTCAAATATCACCTCCTTAAAATGCCTTTCCCTGACCACCTCTAGAATGTAAACTCACTGAGATTGTTGTCTATTTTTCTCACTGTCCATAAGCCTTGAACTCTTAATATCATATTCTTCCAACCACTTTGAACAACACACTCAAAAAGAAAGACAACCAAGATATGAAAATATATACAGACAACATCCACAGAGAAGAATACAAACATTAAATTGTTACTAGATGTGAATGGCCTGGGGGATATTTTTACCACGTTGAGGTCATGAATATGAAACCAGATGGGGTGAGAGAAAATTGTTAGACAAGCATAATGGAAGATGTGGCATTTGAAGAGTGGTTTATGTGACTGAAGACAATCACAGATTCTTTAGCTTTAGATCACAACTTCCCTGACCTGGTGCTATCTTCTGGGTGCAGTTCCCAGAACAGTGTCTGCCACATGATAGATGCTCAGTAACTATTTATTGAATGTCTAGTGAATTAAACAATCAAATGCTCCTTAATGAAGTTTTCTTCTATTTCTTTTCATTTAATTTCATAAAAAGTTAGTATGATGACACAGTTCAATATTTATTTCAGTGTAAAAAGATAATGCATAGTCTTAATCTCACCCCATTCCCTACCTATCCACTTCCCACATCCTGCACAGCTACCTCCCCTCATAACCATTTTTCTTAGTTTCTTATTTATCCTTCCAGGTGTTGTTTATGCAAATCAAATACAACAATATTTGCGTTTTATTATGCAAAAGATAACATACTATACAGTCTGATATTAACCTTGCTTTTTTTCATTTAATAATGTAAGTTGATGAAAGCATAAAGAAAATGTGGTGTGTATATATGTATATATATATATTCCTACACAATGGAATACTATTCAGCCATTAAAAAGAAGGAAATTCTACCATTTGCAACAACACAGATTAACCTTGAGGGCATTACGCTAAGGTGAGATAAGACAGACAAATACCATATGATCTCACTTATATGTAGAATCTAAAAAAATTGAATTCATAAAAGCAAAGAATAGATTAGTGATTGCCAGAGACGAGGTGTAGGGGGTGGGGGAAATGGATGAAGGGGGTCAAAAGGTACAAACTTCCAGTTATAAGAAAAGTAAGTTCTGGGGCTCTAATGAACAGCATGATGACTATAGTTAACAAAACTGTATTGTATATTTGAAAGCTGCTAAGAGGGTAAATCTTAAAAGCTCTTATCACAAGAAAAAGAAATTTGTAACTAGACAAGGTGATGAATGCTAACTAAACCTATTGTGGTGATCATTTTGCAATGTGTACATATATCAAATCAGTATGTTGTACACCTTAAACTAATACAATGTTATATGTCAATTATGTCTCAATAAAAATGCGGGGGAGTATAACTTGGAGATTCTTCCATATTCAACACAGAGAGTGTCTTCAATTTTTTTTATAGTTCCAGTCAATTCCATTGTATGAATGTTCTGTAGTTCACTAAACCAGCCCACATGGGTAGACATTTGTGTTTTTTCCAATCTTTCACTTTTAAAAAACAAAAGCGCTCCATACCACATAACAGGATAAATTCCCAGAGACAGGACTGCTAGATCAGTCTATGTTATGGTAATTTTGCAGATATATTGCCAAATTGCCTTCCATAGGGTTATACAAATTTATATCCTCACCAAAAATGTATAAGAATACCTGTTTCCCTCACAGTCTCACCAACAGACTATTATCAAACTTGAATGTTTGCTAATCTAATAGCTAAAAAATAATAGTATGGTTTTGATTTGTATTTCTCTTGTGACACAGAGCACCTCTTATTTCTATGAATGGATACCTCATACATTTCTTATGTTTCTATTAGGTTAATAGTCTTTCTACACTTGGCTTATAGGAGCACATTATATATAGGGACGTTAGCCCTTTCTCTGTAATGTGAGTTGCAGAAATTTCTTTCCAGTGGTGTGTTGGTTAACTTTTAACAATGGCCTCTGGGGAAAACAAACCCTGGTTTATAGCATTTGCCAAGTTCCGTGATGTAAATAGCCCCATCACAGCCTATTTCAAGCTACCAATATGACATCACTCAATGTGGAGCTGGTAAGAGATGTGCAGCAACTGACCTTTATAGGATGTCTCCGTGATACAGACACGGTAGGCATAAATCACCCCAAGAGCATGGATGATAGTAAAATGTAGTTAAACAATTAGATGAGTTTTGAGTATTTATTATCTTTGCTTGTAACATATTTTAACTATAAGTTTATATAACAATTTTAAATAATGGCTGTGTTTGACAACGAGCTTGCAAAATTCCTGAAAACTTAATAATCATTTCCTGTGAGCCAGTGCAGGCCAGCTCCAACACTCCACTGCCTTTTATTCCATTTGTTTTTTGCCTTTTGACTTTTTTTCAAATTATGCTTTTCACCATACAGAAGTTTGATTTTGATGTAGTTTTATCCATCAGTAATACTCTTTATGAGTTCAGAATATTGAATAATGATTAGCAAGACCTTCCCCATTCCAAGAGTTTTCTCACATTTCCTTCTAATTCTTTTATGGTTTCATTTTTACATTTAACTCTTTAATCCATTTGGAGTACATCCTAGTGTAGGTGGGAGCTGGGGCTCCTACTTTCACTTTTTCCCAGGGGCCTATCCAGTTATGCAGTTTTCCCATGCTAGCTGTTGAATAGTCCATCTTTTCCCACTGATTTGTAAAGCCATCTTTATATGATGCAGCATTCTTGATTTTAATGATCATGGTATTTATCATTATTTGAATGATAAGTTTTATTTATGATCGTAGTTCATAATGGCTTCCCTGTGTCCACTCCTTCGATTCTTTAACCTGCAGTGGTAGGTTTGGTAGATTACAATACTTATAATATTTTTATGTCCAACATACTTTCCCATCCTCTGCCTCCTGAATCCTTCAGGGACTTCTCCTTCCATGCAATGTGATCCTGGAAAGGCCGTCAGTTATGGTTTACTGGCCAAGTCACCGGGTTATACATGTGACCTAGGCTAGCCAACCAAAACATCCCACCACACAGTGATTGGCTAGGGTTCAGACATCTGACCTGAGCAAGGCAATATAATCTTCCCTGGGAGTGATATTTGAACACGATTTTCTGTTGGAATTGTTAATCTGGGAGACAAGTTTTTTAAATCTTCTTAACTTATATACAAATTAAAATTGTCTAAGGATAAAAACAAAAACAAGCAGAGCCAAGAAATGGAGAACTGGAAAGTTCTGAAAGTTTCCTTTGGGTCTCTGGATCCAGCCTTGCCCAAAAACAAATGCCCCTTGGACATCCAGAAATGAAAGCCTATAAATTCCTTTTTTCCTTTTTTTTTTTTTTTACCTAACCTATTTCAATATGGCTTCTTGTAATTTCCAATCAAAAGAATTCCAACTCTCTTCAATAGATATTACTGTTTCCACATTGTAGAGGAAGAGGCAGGCTGAGAGAGGTTAAACTCAATTACAGTGATAATGTGTTTCCCACTCTTAGCTCTTACTTTCTGGTACCCATCTTTCTAGCACTGGCAGCTCCCCACTTTGTGTACTGTATCCCAAAGAAGATTCTCCAAAGATGACTAGGAAGAAAGGCCACATAGAAGTTTGAAGTCTGCTTTTTAACCTCTAAAAGAATCAAGACTCTAAATTAGATCTATTCTCTTCCTGCTCATCAGCCCTTCTTTTCCTGTAGCAAGGTGAAAATCTCCCTGATCTGACTTCTCAATATGGTCAAGGTCTTGGCTTTATCCCGGGTGTCTTTGGCTGGAAAGGTGTAAATGGCCATTCTCCAATGATGTCACACTCAAATCAGCTCCAGAGCTTCTTTTCATATTGAGAGAAGAAATTTGGTTTTCTAAAGCCCTTTTATAATTTGGAATTTCTTCATACCATCTGGAGTAGAGTATACCTGGAAAACAGCAAAATATTCTGAGTTGGAACCAGGTCCTCTAAAAATTCTCTTTCCTGTGGAACAAGTAACACTTAGAGCCTCACAACTAGAATTTTATTCTTTTAGCTTGAAATATAAACTTCTGTTAAAATGCAAATAGTCCCTGGGAGGGTTTACACTCAAGTCTTTTTGGCCATGTGCACCTTAATGTGAATTCACTTAGCAGGTTATTTCTTTGGAGCATATTTTCACTCAGGGAAAAGGAGGCAAAGAAGGATAAATAGTCAGAGAAGAAAACTGAGAGGAGAGGAGAGGTACTGATGGGGGAAAGAGTGCAGAAATGGAGAGATGGAGACAATCACTAAAGGTTTACCTCCCCAAGTCACTTCTGAGTTACAGCTGTGAAGCACAGTGAAGGCCAGAGCAAGCTGATACGACAGCTTCCATTAGGAATGAAGTGAATTAGACAGATTCTCTAAGCCCTGAGGGGAGGCTCTAATTTAGTGCCAGAACCAGCCATCTCACTCCTTTCACATATTCTTCTACTTGGTCATTTTTGGCATTGCTTAAGCCCCTTCATGAGGTGGAATTAATTTGCGTCCAGAAATCAGACCCAACCATTCGTAGCATGTAACTGCAGCTGTCCCGTACTGTCAGCCAGCACCAGCTCCCTCAGCAATTTCTACCTGGACAGAACTTCATTTCATAAGCTTATCTGTTCTCCACTGTCATCCAATATCCTTGTGTATTCCTCATCTATGAAATTTTAATTCCACAAACAAGTTCTTATTCCAAGTGTCTTTACAGTGACTAACAGTGTCTTTGTTCCCATCATTTTTTTTTGTGACTGTACACATCTTCATTTTGGTTACATGCCAAGTCCTCTGATGCCCTTTGGTGAAAGTCCAAGTGAAGGCAAAACTATGCTGAAGAAGATACCAGCAAAATGTCAGACTAGGAACTCCAAGCTTTTACTTCCCCCACAGAAAAATTTTTTTAAAAGGCAGAAAATGTCTGACCCAACCTTACTGGAGCTCTGGAAAACAGTCAAAGGTTAACAGCCAACAAGCAAATACCCCATCAGAAAAAAGCCATCCTCAAAATGGTAGATAAGTTTTGTGGCATTTTTACTCACCTTTACTCTACCCTACCCCAGCGTGGCAGTGGTTTTGGTCTTGAAGTGGTGGCAGCCTGGTTCCCAGTACCATCCCTCGAACTAGGAGAAGCAGACTTTGTTTGCAAATTATTGTATACATCTTTCTAAACTGCCTGGTGGATACCTGAAGGGCTGATGCAAGGAGCTTGTCTGTTATGTCTAACTCAGAACTTAGGTGGGGAAAGTGGTGGGCACTACTTATAAAACTTGCAAGATGAGTGCAGACACAGACTTCTGGGTCAAGAGACTACAGGCGGACACATACAACAGACTATCTCAGGCCCAGAAGAAAAGTTGAGGTGAGGCAGGGAAATTAGGACATTCAAAAGCAGCCCCATATATGGAGGAAACTTGGTAAGCTCCACGCACATGCAGGCAAAATGTATGCTCAGAAAAGACCTGAGGGACCAGCCCGGTTGCGCAGTGGTTAAGTGCACATGTTCTGCTTCAGCGGCCCAGGGTTCGTGGGTTTGGATCCCAGGTGCAGATGTGGCACCGCTTGTCAAGCCATGCTGTGGTAGGCGTCCTACATATAAAGTAGAGGAAGATGGGCATGGATGTTAGCTCAGGGCCAGTCTTCCTAAGCAAAAAGAGGAGGATGGGCAGCAGTTAGCTCAGGGCTAATCTTCCTCAAAAAAAAAAAAAAAAAAAAGACCTGAGATGATCTTAGGCTTTCACCTTGGGCTGACTGCTAGCCTCAGAACAAGCCTAGCTAAGTGTCAAAGGGACACCTTAGCACGGAGCCAACCTGCAAACACTAGGAAAGTTCCTGACACTCAAGGACATCTCTGTGAAAACATCAGCTGAACGCAGGCTAAAGGAGCAGGCTTCAGTGATCATACATGACATGTAAGAGTCTCTGAAAAAAAGAAAAAAACAGCAAGCCCTGGAGAAGGAAGTGAATATGATTTCCAGGGTCACCACGTTATAATAGTTAAATGTCCAATTCTCAGTAAAAAATCACAAGGCATAGAAAGAAACAGAAAAACATGGCCTTTTCAAAGGAACAAAATAAATCCACAGAAACCACTCCTGAGGAAGCACAGACACCAGACTTACTAGAGAAAACTTAAATATGCTCAAATAGTTAAAGGAAAACATGAATAAAAACTAAAGGAAATCAGGAAAATTGTATATGAACAAAATGAAATATCAACAAAGAGATAGACACTATAAAAAGAAGTCAAAGTTCTGGAGTTGAAAATGACAATAGTTGAAATGAAAAATTCACTTGAGGGTTTCAACAGCAGATTTGAGCAAGCAGAAGAAAGAATCAGCAAACTTGGGGATAAGATAATTGAAATTACGGAGTCTGAGCAGCAGAAACAAAAAGAATGAAGAAACGTGAACAGAGCCTAAGGAACCTGTGGGACACCATGAAGCAGACCAACATACAATTATGGGAGTCCTAGGAGATGAGAGAAAAGGGAAAAAAGATTAATTGAAGAAATAATCACAAAAAAATCCCAAATTTGATGACATTTAACCCAAAACAGTGCCCAAATAACATGGGTTTATAATTATTTTTTATGCATTTGTCTCTTAAATTCTTTACCAGAGATCTTTATTTCTTCATGCAGCTTCAAGTTACTGTCTAGCATCATTTCATTTTAGCCTGAAGGACTCCCTTTAGCATTTCTTGCAGGGCAGGTCCCATGGTAATGTCTCTCTTATTTTTGAAGAAAAGTTTTACTGCATATAGTGTTCTTAGTTGAAAGTTTTTATCTTTAAGCACTTTAAACATTTCATCCCACATCCTTCTGGCCCCCAAAGTTTCTGGTGAGAAATTGGGTGATATGCTTATTGAGGATCCCGAGTACATGAGGATTCACTTTTCTCTTGCTGCTTTCAAGATTCTCTCCTTAACTTTGGACATTTGATTGTCCAAATGAGTCTCTGCTAAATCTTTTTGACTTTAGCCTCCTTGGAGTTCATTGGACTTCTTGGAGTTGTAGATTTATGTATTATCAAATTTGGGATATTTTTGTCTCCTTTTTTCCCCCTAGTTTTTCTGGCTAGAACTTCCAATACTACTTTGCATAGAAGTGGCAAAAGTGGGCATCCTTGTCTTGCTCTTCCTCTTAGAGGAAAACCGTTCAATGTTTTCAGCATTAAACATGATGTTAGCTGTATATTTTTCATATATAGACTTTATCAAGAGGAAATTTCTTTCTATTTCTAGTTTATTAGTTGTTTTTATCATTAAAAGGTGTTGAATTTTGTCAAATGCTTTTTCTGTATCAATTATGTTTTCCCCTTTATTCTATTAATTCTATTAATAAAAGGTATCCAAATTGGGGGAAAAAGAAGTAAAATTATCTGTGTTCACAGACAAAATGATCTTATATAGAGAAATCCTAAAGATTCCACACAAAAACTGTTAGAACTAATAAATGAATTCAGAAAACTTGCAGGATACAAAATAAACACTCAAAAATAGTGCATTTTTATACAATAACAACCAAAAATCCAAAGGAAATTAAGAAAATTGCATTTACAACGGCATCAAAAATAATAAAATATTTAGGAATGAACTTAATCAAGAAGGAGCAAGAATTGTGCACTGTCAACTATAAAATGTTTCTGAAAGAAACAGAAGACAGAAACAAATGGAAAGACATCCCGTGTTCATGGATTGGAAGACTTAAGATTGTGAAGACATCAATACTACTCAAAGCAATCTATAGATTCAATGCTATTCCTATCAAAATCCCAAAGACACTTTTTGCATAAATAGAAAAATTCATTCTAAAATTCATATGGAATCTCCAGGGACCCCAAATAGCCAAAACAATCTTGAAAAGGAAAAACAAAACATTGGAGGACTCACACTTCTTGATTTCAAAACTTACTACAAAGCCACAGTAATCAAAACTGTGTGGTATTGGCATAAAGACAAACATGTAGACCAATGGAATAAAATAAAGACATCAGAAATAAGCCCTCACATATGTGAGCAAGTGACTTTCAACAGTGGTGCCAAGACTATTCAATGGGGAAAGGACAGTCTTTCAACAAATGGTGTTGGGAAAACTGGATATCCATATGCAAAAGAATGAAGTTGGACCCTTATCTTACATCATACGTAAAAATTAACTTAAAATGGATTAAATACCCAAACATAAGAGTTGACCCTATAAACTCTTAGAAAAAAATCCAAAAAATCATGATATTGGATTTGGCAATAATTTCTTGGATATGATACCAAAAACAAAGACAAAAAAGAAAAACCAAAAGCAAAAATACATAAATAGGACTTCATTAAAATTGAAAACTTTTGTGGGGGGCTGGCCCCATGGCATAGTGATGGTTAAGTTTGGCACACTCTGCTTTGGCAGCCTAGGTTCCTGGGTTCAGATTCCAGGTGTAGACCTACACGACTCATCAGCCATGCTGTGGCAGTGACCCACATATAAAGTGAAGGAAATTTGGCAAAGAATTTTAGCTGAGGTCTAATCTTCCTCAAGCAAAAAAAACCCAGGAAGATTGGCAGCAGATGTTAGCACAGGGCAAATCTTCCTCAGGGGAAAAAAAAAAAACTTTTGTGGATCAAAAGACACTATCAAGAGAGTGAAAAGGCAACCCATAAAAAGGGAGAAAATATTTGCTAAGCATATGTCTTATATCCAGAATAAATAAGGAACTCCTACAACTCAACAACAACAACAAGCAACACAACTTGAAAATTGAGGCAAAAGACTTGAAAAGAAATTTCCCCAAAGAAAATATTCAAGTGGCCAAAAAGCATGTGAAAAGATGAGAAACATCTCTAGCCATTTGGGGAATGTAAATTGAAACCACAAGGAGATAGCACTTCATACTCAAAAGGATGGCTGTTATCAAAAAAGAAAAAGAAAAAAGTGTTGGTGAGGATGTGGAGAAATTGGAACCCCTGTTCATTGCTGGTGGGAATGTAAAATGGTACAGCCACTGTGGAAAATGGTATGGTGGTTCCTCAAAAAGGTAAACACAGAATTACCATACGACCGGCAATTCCACTTCTAGGTATATATCCAAAAGAATTGAAAGCAGGGACTCAGATACCTGTACACCAAGATTCATAGCAGTGTCATTCACAACAGCCAAAGGGTGGAGGCAATCTGAGTGTCCATCAACAGATGAATGGATAAGCAAAATGTAGTATATACACACAATGGAATATTTTTTTAGCCTTAAAAATGAATGAAATTCTGGTATATGCTACACATAGATGAGCCTTGAAAGTATTATGCTAAGTGAAATAAACCAGTCACAAAAAGACAAATATTGTATGATCCTACTTATTTGACTTACCAAGAATAGGTAAATTCATAGGAACAGAAAGTAGAATAGAAATTACCAAGGGCTGTGGGGAGGGTGAAATGGGGGAGTTGTTTACCAGTTACAAACATGCTGTTTGAGATAATGAAAAAGTTCAGGAAAGAGTTAGTGGTAATCCTTGCACAACAATTTGAATGTATTTAGTGTGACTTAATTGTACACTTAAAAATGGTTAAAATGGTCAATTTTATGTTATGTATATTTTATCACAATAAAAAATTTTTAACTATATTGAAGATAAATGTGTTTTCATAGCCATCTCAAACACCCATTAAGCGTCATTTGCTTCCCTTTATTCAACTAAAATTTATGGAATGCTAACCAAATGTCAGCTCTCTAGTAGGTCCTCAGCTTTCAAAGATACACAAAATAGTCTCTGTAATAAAATATTTTATAATCTGCTTGGAAAGGCATGAAGGTAAAATTAACAGACAAAAGCATGTGATAAGTACCATGCTATTCGTAAATATAGGGAATTTAGGAAGCCTATAGGAAGGAGCATTTAGCTCAGACAGGAAATATCTGGAAACACTTTCCAAAGGATATTAGTAACTGAGCTGAGTCTCAACATGTGTGAGTCAGCCAGGGGAAAATGGAAAAGGACTTCTCAGGCAAGAAGAGCAATATATAAAAGACACAGTAAAGAGAATATGAGCAGATTGGGAAGATATGATAATATATTAAATGAAATTGTTGGGGATGGGGTGAAGAGAGGAAGATGAATATTGGAGAGCTGAACAAGGTTCAGAAAATGGATATCTTATATAATATGGGAGTTTGTACTTTATCCTAAGGGCAATAAGTAGCCATTGTATAAGATTTCAGAAAGAGGAATCACGTGGTCAGCTCTGTCTTTGGAATAGACCTCCCTGGCTATATGTGGAGAATGGACAGAGGAGGGCTTGACTCTAACCATACAAGTGAGAACTGACGAAGGGCCTGAACTAGGGCACTGGGATAGGCATGGAGACTAGTAGACAGAGTCTAGAAATGCGCGTGATAATGACTCAGAAGACTAGCTACTGGTTGGATATGGGTGAGAGGAAGACTCTCAGGTTTCTAGCTTGGGAAATTTGGTGAATGGTAGTACAATTCACCAAAATGAGAAACTCAGATGAAGAAAT